CTCAAAAGTTCAAGTAAATTGCTGGATAGGCTAGATTCTGTATGAGGGCATACCAAACTTAACATAAAAAAAATGATGGTTAGTCAACATATTAGCAACACTTGACATAAACAGTTAAAACCAATTCATAAAATGGTGGAAAATAAACTGTTTATTTCCCTAGTTATTATTTGTAAGAAATTATAAATTGCAGTGACAGATAGGTTGGCAGAAGGACCAAATAATAAATCAGGTAGATTTGGGTGGACTTCCATCTAGATCACGGTCCAGCCATCTAGCGTGGAGTTTTGAGCACATTCAAACCAATTACCATTCCATGTACGAGATAAAATAAGAGTACGTCTCGTAAGTTAGAATCACTTCATAGCAGTGCAAAAATTGACGGTAATATATATAATATCATCAGCACTCTAATGTACCAAAGGAGAAACTCATGATAAGAGTATGTGGCACCCTTGTAGAATATACCAGATTTCAGGATTGGAGAGTTTCCGTTGCATTAAAAAAGAAAGAAAAAAGAAAGAAAGAATGGGTACCAAAGATGCAATTCAAGATCATGCCTCAGCTTACCAGTTATAGCTGCCAAAGAGGAACCTCCACAGGCGACATGAAAGACATGCTGATCAGCCAAAGCATCAATCACTGCTGGCATTTTCTGACATTGAATTGAAGAATGGCCCAGCTGACCATGTCCATCAAACCCCCACGAAAGTACTTGACCTTCATATGATAACACAAACAAGAATCAGAAATAGTAGAAAAGGCTACGCAATCTAAAAAGAGAAGGAAAGAATAGAGAAGAAAATGGAACGAGAGTTGCATTTGCTGCTGTAACCATGACGTTCTGGAGTCACTTTACCAGTCAAGGCAAGACAGTGATATCCACCACCTGCTATCTGAATGATACAAGCATCTTTGTGGCTAGGAATTGGTTTTGGTCTCCAAGCACTGACCCTGTCACCTCTTCCAAGTGCATAGACACTTAATTTATGTTGTTTTTGTTCTAGCAATAATGGAATTTCAGTCAATGTTGAAAACAAGACAAAATGCATCAGCTGTCACACTGGTTAACTGCCCAAAAAAGGTCTTGACAAATTTAAATCTAACTCAGAAAACATAAAGATTCCACAGCATCTTGAACACGATGAGACATGATTTTCATTTACATTGAAGCATTCACCTCGGCTTTCTTTAAAGCATAGCCATCCATTACCATAGCAAATTCACAGAACAGACCTTTACATAATAACAGTGCCCATAAAAAAATAGTGCTTTTGTGACAGAGGAAACTATCCATGTGCCTAGTACAGTAATTGATGTTGTCTATGAGCAGCCAGGATGTTAACACACTCCAAGGACAGGAAAGTGCATAATTAAAACTCTGTAAGAACATATAATTGGTACTAATGGAAAACAAGATGAGGGGCATTCTCCTGCACAGTTTTAGCCATGTGCAGCATAGGAAGCAATAAAATGGAATGACAGAATTTAATTCAGTGTAAGTTAACACAGAATCACAAGGAAGGCCAAAATCACAATTGTAATAAAGTAGAAGCAGTGAGAAACATAAAATTTTGCACATCCCGAGATAACCTGAATGGAAAAGGACAGTTCATGTAACAACCTAAGATGGCAGCAGCCTTTTTGGATTAACCCGAGAAGCATGAGACCACATGACTGCAGCTGTAGTGCCATCCTTTATCTCAAGTCTTACAAATGCAAGATTTTCAGTAGATTATTCATTCCAAGAGGTTGTTCGACTAAACTTGAAAATATATTTTTCTTTTTTCTTTCCTTCAAACACTGAACAACAACTAGTGCATCATATTGCTCCATGAAGCTCCTTCGCTACATTTTGAAAAATAAAACCGATGCTAGCATCTAAGCAGCAATATGGAATAGAGAGAGAACATCCTGCGAACAAAAGTACCATCCTCACCTCCTCAATTCCAAATCTTGCACTCTTGTCTGTGTTAAAAAATAATATAAATTATATTTTAAAATTTCATTTAAAAACTTAAGTTTTTTATTTATTAATTTTTTAATATATCATTAGAGCTTTAATAATCAAACGATCATGAATATAAATCTTATCATCCTTATTTATTTGATAAAAAAATAAATACAAAATAATATATACAAGTTTTAAAAATAAAAGAATTTTACTTGAAAAAATATATTAAATAATAATATAAATTATATCTTGAAATCTTATTTAAAAACTTAAGTTTTTCCGTTAAATTAGTTTTTTAACACTCTGCCAACAACACCTTTCTGAAAAAATCATGGCAAGACACAGCAGCCACAGACACCGGAAATGCCTTTACTTTGCAGAGTATACTAAGTCCACCCCCTTCATTTGGACCCCGACCAGGGCCGAGGCCTAATCTGCCATCTCCTTCTTCTCAACCCCGGGTACAAACTTCCCCTGTTTCCATAGTAAGAACCAGATGAGTGAAAGCAAGCAAAAGACGAAATATGAACTAATGTACGAGGAAGTCTATACTTGGCCAAGTATGAGGAAGTTTGATTAATTAATCCTTTACGGATTGGTTGTAACTCCTTGATCTCCTCGTGCATTTTCTCCCATTACATTGCTAAAGGGAAAGAACTATGTTGACACACGTGCACCAAAAAGTCAGCAAAGATATATCCATTAACCATTACTATCGTATAGAGTAGAACTTCCCAATCCTGTATCAGTTGTTGATAACATTGTAAGGTGATCCAAAACTTTAGGATTTAGATAGAGAAGTGGACATGGGCTCATGGCAGGGTTAAACACAGAATACCCCAAGTAAAGCAGCATAAAAGCCAATCAATCAGTTGCAATTTGCAAACAGTAAGAGATACGCGGAAAATGTATCTCCTAAGCATATATAAACTGCAATTGAGATGTACAAAAGGTTGCTACTTGTTTGCATAAATCAAGAAAAGATTGAATACCTGAGTCAGTGATGGCAGAAGAATGTATGTCAGTAATGGAAATGTGGCGTGTTTTTCCATCTCAAGAACCTTCCACTACTCTAGGGAATAGTTCTCTATGTTACATGCCCCAATGCACCGAAACCACCATGGCCCCTGCAAACTTTATGCCAGAAAGACATCCTTAATGTGCTTCTTTGTCTCATAATCATTTTAAAGAAGGAAAAAATATTGCAACGGAAGTAAAATGGAGGGATGTAGTAATAACAATGCAAAAATCTGGCCAGTGGAAGTGAGGGCAACAGAACGAATGCCACCCTAAGCAATAGAGTGAACGGAATCCAAAAAAGGGTTTAGAGTCGGAAGAAAAGCAGGATTCTCGTGTACAAAGCCAAGACAGCCTCCATCCCCTTTGCCCCGTATCCATAAAAGACCATCAGCAAGAATTGCCGAGTGAAACAGAAATGCCCAACACAATCACTCCCTATTTGTTGCCTTTGTCAACAAGGTGGCCAGTGGTTGGAGAGAAAGCGAAAGAGTAAGGCAGTGCTGGAGATGGGCAGAGCCTTATTAATTCAATGCCACCAACAAGTTGATCAGAGGCGCCTCTGCCCAGGAAAAGAGCTCTGACTGGCACTTTGCTTGCGGTGGATTGTGAGGAGAAGTGGCGGTTGAGAGTAAGGCGTTGCCGTACAAGACAACTATGCAGCAGCAGCATCATAAGATCATCACTTTCACTGTCCTGCATAGTTGCCTTACAAGACAACTATGCAGCAACAGCATCATAACATCACTTTCATTTACCTCCTGCTACTGATGTTGCTGTCTCTATCATAAAAGTTGGTAGATTTCTGCTTATTTTTTTTTAGATTAACGTGGGTGTTCTTTGGTAGCTTTCTGCTGATTTTGATTGCTGGTGAACTTGTCATCGTGATACAACCGCATTTTTCAAAATTTCCTAAGGTTTTTTGTGGGATGAAAATTAAAAAAACCATTGATCCTTTTTGGGATGAAAATGAAAGAACCATTGATTTTTTGCTGATGAACTTGTCATCGTGATACAACAGCATTTTTCAAAATTTCCTAAGGTTTTTTGTGGGATTAAAAATAAAAAACCATTGATTCTTTTTGGGATGAAAATGAAAAAACCATTGATTTTTTTTATAAACATCTACCTTTATTGTTATATTATTCAATAAAATATAATTTAAAAAAAATCAAAGTGATTGAATTAAATCGAGTCTTTAACGGGCGTATATTTAAAAGGGATGAATCGGAGTAAATTCATTATATTGTTGTCAAAATATTAATAAAAAAAAAACAATAGCATTTTGATTTATTTATAAAAAAAAATTTTACTGTTTGAAAACGTGCTAACATGGTATGCACGTTCTTTTTTTTTTATTATTTATGTGGGGTGTCCGGGCCAACTTATACTGCACTACGATTAATCCCCACGGTCCACTGAGCAGGTAAGATATCGCGAGGGTGACAGGCATACATGACGAGGTTAAAATCCAGATGTAAAGAAAGAAAATAAACCCCTTACAATAGTAGTTCAGAACCTCACTTGCACGTTAACTGACAAAACTTCTTTTTACATGTTAAAAGGTAGTTCCCGGCAACCTTTCTAGTGTTTTACTAACAAAGGGGTGACAATGATAATGTCCGATGATGATTATAAATACTAAAAAATTGAAAATATTATAAGAGATGACCTTCATAATATATTGTCGTGCATTTTCTCCCATTACATTGCTAAAGGGAAAGAACTATGTTGACACACGTGCACCAAAAAGTCAGCAAAGATATATGCATTAACCATTACTATCGTATAGAGTAGAACTTCCCAATCCTGTATCAGTTGTTGATAACATTGTAAGGTGATCCAAAACTTTAGGATTTAGATGGAGAAGTGGACATGGGCTCATGGCAGGGTTAAACACAGAATACCCCAAGTAAAGCAGCATAAAAGCCAATCAATCAGTTGCAATTTGCAAACAGTAAGAGATACGCGGAAAATGTATCTCCTAAGCATATATAAACTGCAATTGAGATGTACAAAAGGTTGCTACTTGTTTGCATAAATCAAGAAAAGATTGAATACCTGAGTCAGTGATGGCTGAAGAATGTATACCAGAAATGGAAATGTGGCGTGTTTTCCCATCCCAAGAACCTTCCACTAGTCTAGGGAACAGTTCTCTATGATACATGCCCCAATGCACCGAAACCACCATGGCCCCTGCAAACTTTATGCCAGAAAGACATCCTTAATGTGCTTCTTTGTCTCATAATCATTTTAAAGAAGGAAAAAATATTGCAACGGAAGTAAAATGGAGGGATGTAGTAATAACAATGCAAAAATCTGGCCAGTGGAAGTGAGGGCAACAGAACGAATGCCACCGTAAGCAATAGAGTGAACGGAATCCAAAAAAGGGTTTAGAGTCGGAAGAAAAGCAGGATTCTCATGTACATAGCCAAGACAGCCTCCATCCCCTTTGCCCCGTATCCATAAAAGACCATCAGCAAGAATTGCCGAGTGAAACAGAAATGCCCAACACAATCACTCCCTATTTGTTGCCTTTGTCAACAAGGTGGCCAGTGGTTGGAGAGAAAGCGAAAGAGTAAGGCAGTGCTGGAGATGGGCAGAGCCTTATTAATTCAATGCCACCAACAAGTTGATCAGAGGCACCTCTGCCCAGGAAAAGAGCTCTGACTGGCACTTTGCTTGCGGTGGATTGTGAGGAGAAGTGGCGGTTGAGAGTAAGGCGTTGCCGTACAAGACAACTATGCAGCAGCATCATCATAAGATCATCACTTTCACTTTCCTACATAGTTGCCTTACAAGACAACTATGTAGCAACAGCATCATAACATCACTTTCATTTACCTCCTGCTACTGATGTTGCTGTCTCTATCATAAAAGTTGGTAGATTTCTGCTTATTTTTTTTTAGATTAACGTGGGTGTTCGGGTCAGCTTGCACGTACCACGACTAATCCCACGAGCTCTGAAGTTAACAACCATGTAAGCCTCTAGTGACCATCATATGAGCAACCAAGAACTCGAACTTGAAACCACAGAGGGAACAAACCCCTTGATTGCTGATGAACTTGTCATCGTGATACAACAGCATTTTTCAAAATTTCCTAAGGTTTTTTGTGGGATTAAAAATAAAAAACCATTGATTCTTTTTGGGATGAAAATGAAAAAACCATTGATTTTTTTTATAAACATCTACCTTTATTGTTATATTATTCAATAAAATATAATTTAAAAAAAATCAAAGTGATTGAATTAAATCGAGTCTTTAACGGGCGTATATTTAAAAGGGATGAATCGGAGTAAATTCATTATATTGTTGTCAAAATATTAATAAAAAAAAAACAATAGCATTTTGATTTATTTATAAAAAAAAATTTTACTGTTTGAAAACGTGCTAACATGGTATGCACGTTCTTTTTTTTTTATTATTTATGTGGGGTGTCCGGGCCAACTTATACTGCACTACGATTAATCCCCACGGTCCACTGAGCAGGTAAGATATCGCGAGGGTGACAGGCATACATGACGAGGTTAAAATCCAGATGTAAAGAAAGAAAATAAACCCCTTACAATAGTAGTTCAGAACCTCACTTGCACGTTAACTGACAAAACTTCTTTTTACATGTTAAAAGGTAGTTCCCGGCAACCTTTCTAGTGTTTTACTAACAAAGGGGTGACAATGATAATGTCCGATGATGATTATAAATACTATAAAATTGAAAATATTATAAGAGATGACCTTCATATTATATTTTTGGGGTTAAATTGAAATTTATAAAATCCTTAATATTTTTAAGGAAAAAGAACGGGAGAAAAGGTAGTCGGTGACAGTCGGCGGTCACTTTGTTTTGCCCCCAGCAGTAGCAAAGCCAGCATAGGCATAGCGAGGCATCCTCATATAGCATCTGCAAGCATTGAGAGCAAAGAGAGAAGAAGGGAAATGGAGATGGAGCAGCTACTGAGCATGGGTTTTCCTAGTGAATTGGCCGCTCAAGCTCTGGCCGCCACCGGTGGCAAATCAACAGTGAAAGCCACCGAGTGGATTCTCTCCCAAACATCTCATCCTCATCCCAGTAATAGCCCAAATGGATCATCATTCCAGCAGCCAAAACTAGACCGCTTCTTTCATTTCCCATCATCAAAACCAAAACAAGAACCCTCCTCCCCCTCCAATTCCCCCACCCAAACGGCCACCGCGCCGCCCCCGCCACCACCTCATCATGAACTACTATCAGCCCAAACTCCTCCCCCTTCTAAACGTCCCAAAGTATTCGCTCCATCACCCCCCTCAAATCCACATAATCGTACTATCAGCGATGATGAACCCTTGTCCGAACGCATGCGACCTCGCACCATTGATGATGTTATCGGCCAGGACCTCCTTCTTTCCCAAAACTCCCTCCTCCGCTCTGCTATTCGTTGTAGCCGCATCCCTTCGATCATCCTCTGGGGTCCACCTGGAACTGGTAAGACATCCATTGCTCGTGCCATTGTCACTTCTGCTAATTCTCAGGGCTCTTCATCCTACCGTTTTGTCCCTATGTCTGCTGTTACTTGTGGGGTTAAGGATGTTAGGGATGCTGTTGAGGATGCTAGGAAATTTAAACTCAAGAATAGTAAAAGGACTGTTCTTTTTCTGGATGAGGTTCATAGGTTTAACAAGTCCCAGCAGGACTCTTTCTTGCCTGTTATTGAAGACGGTACCATTGTGTTTATTGGGGCCACTACTGAGAATCCTTCTTTTCATTTGGTTACGCCATTGCTTTCTCGCTGTAGGGTTCTCACGCTTAGCCCTTTAAAGCCTCACCATGTTCAAACCATTTTGATGCGCGCGGTGAATGATCCTGACAAGGGACTGTCCAAGAGCTTAGGGAGTTTGGGAGTAGATGTGAGTAAGGATGCTGTTGAATTTTTATCCACGAATTGCGATGGTGATGCACGTGTGGCGTTGAATGCCTTGGAAATTTCTGCTGCAACTGCAGCTGCCCGAGTGGGAAGTGATGGGGATTTGAGGTTGGCCAGTGTTGCATTGGATGATGCCAAGGAGGCGCTTCAGAGCAAGCATCTTGCTTATGATAGAGCAGGGGAAGAGCATTACAATCTCATCAGTGCACTTCACAAGTCTATGAGAGGAAGTGATGCAGATGCATCCATTTATTGGTTGGTGAGGATGTTGGAAGGAGGCGAACAGCCGCTCTATATTGCGAGGCGTTTGGTAAGGTTTGCAAGTGAGGATGTTGGCTTGGCTGATCCTTTAGCACTTAACCAGGCTGTTGCTTGCTACCAAGCTTGCCATTTCTTGGGCATGCCTGAGTGCAATGTGATTCTTGCTCAGTGTGTAGCTTACTTGGCTTTGGCTCCAAAATCCATTTCTGTCTATCGAGCAATGGGGGCTGCACAGAAGGTTGTTAGAGAATCTGTTGGACAAAACGAGGGAGTGCCGCTTCATTTGAGAAACGCACCTACCAAGTTAATGAAAGAGCTTGGGTATGGGAAGGACTATATCTACACTCCTGATAATCCCACCGCAAACCAGAGCTTTTTACCACCTTCACTCCAGGGCTACAAGTTCCTTGATTGGCCAGCCAGTAATGCCAATAATGGATAAGAAATTATTTGATGACCAACGTAGATTTTGGAAGCCAGCAGCCAATGACCATTAGGAGCTAGTTCTGTTTTTGGTTGTGGGTGTGTGCTTGGTGGTTTTTGCTATAAAACTCTGCTGCTCTTTTGTTAGTATTCCGAAGCCATGATATTTTTGGAACTGTTACAGACATGGCTTAGAAGAGCATGGGAAATCCACTGTACTTGATGATCTTAAACTGTGAAAAGAGCAAGGTTTCTGCTTAGAGTGATACCTGGAGTTATTCAGTTATGTTTTTCTGTCTGCTGCTTGGAGGTTCTATAGCTGACGTTTCCATTTTAGATTTCCTAAAATAGAGGAGTGCCAAGGAAGCAAGTCAGCAACTATGCACATAGCATAAGACAACTCTTATGAGTTGTAGCGTGTAGAAGATTTAGCACAGGGGTTAAAGAATCATCCCATTGCAGTACTGCATGCTCCTCTTCTATCGATTATCATTAACCTCCCTGAATTTTTTTTTCCTTCTTTGGGAAATTTTTCAAAGGAGTTCCTGATAACGTTTCAAGGAATAGTTGATCGATGTTAAGAGCTTTAGGGCATGCTAAGATTACATCTTCATTCTGATAATGTTTATGATAAAATTTGTACTCTCTTTTGGGACAGAACATCTTCATTCTTCACAGAGAGTTGAGTGAACTCCCGAGTTTTGGTATATCCACAGACAAGATAAATAGAAACAAGGAAGCCATCTCCCATCTTAAGGGTTCACTTCCAAACTCAATAATAGCTAAGTAAATTCAACTCCAATTAATTTTGTTTCTTACGAGTTCCAAAATGGAGAAAGAATAACGTAACCAGTAAGGTTGGGATTGAAATGCATATTAAAGATCCTCTTATTAAAAACGAAATCAGTAAGATTGGGATTGAAATGCATATTATAGATCCTCTTATTAACTTCCATCGTCGATAGACTACATAACTGGATGCTAAGTTCTAATTCCGGCAGCAAAACCACTTTGCTAAACAAGATACAAGCTTACAAGAAATGAGAAGGGAGGAAACAAATACGGGGGGAAAAAGGGGAAACCTCAAATGAAACATTTTTTAAAAGAAAAGACAAATTAGATCCATTCTTTTGGGTTGATGCAAGCATCTAATAACTTCCACTCGTCACTTCCCTCTTCAGGTTTCTGCATAGAAACAAGGAAGCCTCTTGCTGTCAGTTCATAATCTTATACCTCCTAATCATGCACATCAAATAGTTGCGCACAAAAGTTCTTGGAAACTTACATGATCATATTCCCATCGTGCAGATAGTGGCAGAGAAACAAGAATACTTTCAATACGACCTCCTGTCTTCAATCCAAATGTCGTACCCCGATCATATACCTATGGGGAAAAAAGCAAGTGATAGAACATTTAAGGCTCAGTATAAAAGAGCTTTTATGTTAAAATTTCTGTCTAGATTCTCCAGAACTAGTTTTGGTACCAAGTTGAATTCTACATAGCGTCCTCTTCGCAATTGTTGCCATGCTTTGTGATGATCTGTGAATGGTGTATCCTTCCTTTTCTCTATAATGGGAATGTATGCAGGTACCACAGAATTTGCACACTCTGGAGTTCATAAAAACATTGCATAAATTAGTAAAATTGGAATTCACGGGAACTAGGACTTTTTTCTAGATAAAACCACAAAGACATGTTAGCATTGCAAAATACCAGTGGCGAAGGATAGAAGCATCTCCTGATCATACTCATTTAGATCATCAAAAAAGATTCCTCCAAG